TCCTCAACGACGCAAAGTACCTCTCACTGAAAACAAAAATGAAAAATGCAACATATGCAATGTATCCTACAGGCTACTGCTAAGGCAGTGGTACCACATGTCGAAAAAAAACAAACGAAACTATAGTGTACAAGTCATGTCGTAGCTACTCTGCGAACACCCTACTGGTACAACGCTACTCTACGAACACCATACTGGTACCAAAATCATACACACCGAAAACAAAGGAAACATCATCTAATACATTTGTAGCACGCTGCACGCACACAACCACTGAGAGCCTAACAACACTAAGACAAGACAAGACGACAAAAAAAAATAGGACCGCACAACATGACGAACCTCAGTGCGAGCAGGGGAAAAAATGAGTGTTGGCCTCATCAGTCAACGACGCTTCTTCCCCTTCCCGCTCTGTCTCCTCGTACCCCCTCGCGTGCCGGATGTCGAACTCCTCCTCCCTCGTGATGATGAAGAAGTCTGCGCAGCGCGCCGTCTAACTGCACCTTTCCGTGGGGGAGGTGGGGGCTCGTGCTCGTCGTGGTCGTAGTCACCATCGGAACCTCTCTCGCTCTCCTCCTCTCCCTCCTCTTCGCCCTCATAGTCCTCGTCCTCCTCCCGCACTGCCACATCTGTCTCAGGATCATCCTCCTCGATGGTGACAGGGGCTCCTGCCTTCCTCAACACAACAACCCTCGCACTAGCCTCTGTAACCGTCTGCTCACGGCGCGATCCATGAGGCATCCCCAACCCCTCTGCCCCCGAAGTCTCTCCAAGTGCATCTCCTCCCTCTGCGGGCACAGAGCGTGGACGAGGAGGCACTCCGCGCTTGCGTGGAGTCTGCTCATGTATGGCACGCGTCGCTGCCATCAGAGCGTACTCCAAGCTATCGGCGGGCACTCCTCTGTCGCGACCTCGCTGAGGCTCACAACCTGATGCTGCCAGCTCCCTCGCTGCGGTCATCCTGCCGTCGCGGGGTCCCAAACCCGGCTGTAGACGTGCAGTGTGCTCCGTGACACGGCGGGTGGAATCCAAATCTATGTCTGTCCTCCTGAACAATGCTGTGTCACTCACATCCCCCACAACGGCTGTAGTGTCCCGAATCCTAGACCTCCCAGGCGTGTGTGGAGATCGAGAGCCTCTGCCTGTGGGCGACGATGACGGATCACCTACAGGTGGTCTAGGAGGAGGGGGTGGCATGTCTCGTGAACGTGGGGCCGTCTCCACGACGCCACCTGAAACCCCTGGAACATCTCCCGCCGTACGTGCTCCGGTGGAGGTAGGCCCAGACCACACCGGCGATGCAGGACCCCATGGAACTGGAGGGATCGCCTGCTATGGTGGATGCTGTAGCCTCCGGTCAAAGACCCGCTGGTCCAAGCAAGTCACATCGTGGACAGCCTCTCTCGCAAACTCGTCTGCATTCAAAGGACGGCGGACCTCCTGCGGAGCAAAGTGAGTAGGAAGACGTGGTGGCGCAACCACCGGCTCGGACCCCAAATCCGTGATAACGGGCGGCGACACACCATGCACTGCCACCGGCACCGGCTGCAACTGTCGGCCCTGAGCCAAGTGTAGGCCCGAGAACGGAACGACTAGACCCGTCGTTGTCTCCCGGATCACACATCGTGCGTCACCCACACCCTCGTCTCGCCGCCGTCCTGCCTGCACAGCCTCATCCACCGCCTATTGCAAGCCCTCCACATGAACATCCGCTGCCGATCGACCACCCTGCACAGCCTCAGCGTCTGCCCGTGCCACCACTCTTTCCACAACGTCCTCCCCC